CTTCTCTCCCCCAACTCCATTAATCAAAGACAGATAGATGTCCTCTGCTACCCCTGCACTACCCAAGACCTCTCTACTGCCCTGGACTCAAAGCCTTTGTTTTTCATTTCATTCGGTTGAAAAAGAACAGTTTAGCTGCTTCCTTGAGGATCCCTGCCACATGCCTCAGTGCCTAGATAGCTTCTAACCCAATAAGAGTGACTGGTGACCCAACGTGGCCACTGACCAAGATCTTTGTTCCACATGGGAAGTGCAGACAGGTGCCTATGATCCACAGATCCTGCCAGAGGTGTCCAGCACTCACTGCCTTCCCTCAGTCTAGACTGAGTTGGAGCGTGTGCAAAAAGCCTGAGTGAGGCCCACAGCAGCACTGGTCTGCCCACACCGCTGGCTCCGGGTTGGCATTCGGGCCAGACTGTGCCCCCTGCAGTTGTTGCTGCTGCTATTGTTATTGCTACCCCAGTCATGACCCAGGCCTGTGGACAGCTGGAGTCAGGCTGGTGGCTGAACCATGTCATGCATCTGCAGCAAGTGTCAGCTTTTTCTTCCTGCTGTCTGTGTGAAAATGCAGCAATCTCCATGAAACCCAGCATTGGACAGAGGGGGCAGGTTGCAGAGAACCAGATCTGAAGCCTGCCTAATCTTTCTCCCAGGGGGTGCCGGGGGCAAATGCTTGCCAGAACTTTAAGCCTCAGTGAACATTTGTTTCTACTCAGGCCCAGTGTTGACAGCTCAGGGAACAGGACTTCGTTTAATGTCCAGCTAAGAGAAATGCTTGAAGGCTGACAGCATTTCAGGTCAAGTGTCCAGTGTTTGCCAAAAGACGGGCCAAAGACAGTCTGCATTTGAATTGCTGGGGGGAGACGGGCATGTTGCTTCACATGCAGGTTCCTGGGCCCCACCCCAGACCTTCTAGTTCTGAACCTCTGAGGAATGGGGCCTAGAAATCTGCCTAATTAACAAGCCCCCACCTCAACCCCCAGGTAATTCTTGTGCTCACTAAAGTTTGCAAAGCATTGCCTGCCTAGTCCAATTGCAATAAAATCAACATGCTTCACTTTCCTAAAGCAACAAGAGAAAACTCATTTCTGTCCCAGGGTCCAGATTTCAGCAAAAGGAAAGAGTCACAGGGCCGGCTGAGTG